TTACAAAACATAGTGTGCTAATATCATTTACATTAATTTCTTCCCACCAAAAGAAAGATGCATATGTTTTGCTAAATATTTTTAAGTGTTTGATTTTTGTTATTTTGGAGGACTTTCATACATTAGTACTGTATTTCCATCATTCCTGCCCCTTGCTATCCCCTCTCCAACTCTTCCCACATCTCCCCCCAACTCCCTCTCAATTTCCTGACCTCTTTGATTATTATTGTTGCATATACATATATATAATCTGCTGGGTCTATTTACTGCAGGGGTGTGTGTGTGTGTGTGTGTGTGTGTGTGTGTGTGTGTGTGTTTTAAGGTTGCTTGTATGTACTTCTGTTTAGGGCTGCCCACTTGGGATTGGAAAACCTATCGGGGAACTTGTGCCTGTAGAAAACCAGTTCTACTTCATGCAGTCCAGGATCTCCTGCCCAGGGAATGGTTCCCCCAACACACAGTTAAGTTGAGTCTTCCCACATCAATTGCCGTAATCAGGATAATCCCCCACAGGCATGCCTAGAGGCTCATGTCCCAGTGATTCTAGGTTCTGTCATGTAGACAACACTAACCAGCACACTGGGAATGTGGAGCAGTTACATTTAATTAGACAAACAAGGTAGTCTACCTTGACTCTTCTGGGGTTTTGTTCTGTTTTGTTTTACCTCAATACCATTGAATATCTATTAATAGCTATGAACCATTTGTTGGAAAAATGCTCATAAACACATTCACACGTGTTTATAATGAAACTTGATTTTTTGTGCGTATGCTAACTAAAAAATGAATTGAAAATAAATAAAAAGCACTGGATATAATTACATGTCAAAAAGTCATATAGGGACTGGAGAGATGACTCAGCAGTTAAGAGCACAGGCTGCTCTTACAAAGGACCTGGGTTCGATTCCAAGCACCCACATGGCAGCTAACATCTATCCATAACTCCAGTTCCAGGGAATTTGATGCCTTCTTCTGACCTCCATTTGGCATTTCATGACACGGGTGTGCTTACACACATGCAGGCAATACACATACACATAAAATAAAAATAATTAAAAAGTAATATAAACTGAGAAATTCTCCTTTCTAATTAATCAAAAATTATAAATATTTACATTAAAAGTGAATATATTTTAATTTCTAGGAATATAAGAATAATATTGCCAAACTTATAAATGAAATAAAAATCAAAGAGGAGGGACATAAGCTAGAAATAAGCAAACTTTATCAGGATATGCAGAAAATGGGTGAGTTTTAAATTTTAATTGCTGAATTCTAAGGCATCATGAAACAATTTAAAGGTATGTGTTACTTTTTTAATAATAGTATTATTTAATGAGCATTACCTTGAATCATTTTGTTTTGTATATTTCTACATATTTATGTTTTATAAATATAATAACTCTAAATTTCATTCATGTTTGTACTTAGTTTTGTCTATGAAACAATGTTCTTATATAATTAATATAAAAGGGTTAATGAATAATGATATGCTTACTATAGTGAATATAATTTCACTAATTTTCTTCAGTAAAACAGGTCTCATTGCACTTAAGTTGAAGATTGATTTATTATTAAAAGTTGTGCTTAATGAACCTATCTTTATGAACATCATATGAAAAAATTAGCTTGAAAGAAGGAGTTGGTGGATGATGCAAGAGCACATGATTGAAAGCTCAGTCTGGGCTACACAGTGACTCCACAAGAAAATGGACAAAATATTTCAACAAATACTACCAAAGATACCCACGTGGAAAAAGTGTATTAGAGGAGGTTTCACATAAATAGGAGGAAAATGCTTATTAAAATTTCAAAATTTCAATGAGACAAGCCAGGACTATATAGCTAGTCCCTGTCTCAAAAAAGTCTAAAATA